TCAAAATTAATTCACCTTTATTCAAAGCATTAACATAAAAATCACAAAAAGGTACCACCATCACAACACGACGTTTAACTGCCAGCAAGAATAACTAGCCATAAAACTAAATCACAACTCGCTGTCTTCCTATCGACTTGCGTTCAACTAAGTACCCGATAATTAACTTATTCGCGTTCAATTCATCGCTGCTAATTTCTCATACACTGGTGTCTATTTCATCTTTGACTTTTTCTCTCGGTATCACGACGTTGCTTCTATATTCTTTCATTCTTCCGAATTTATTTCGAATTAACTAGACTTTTTCGCGGTAAAAATCCATTCACGAATATTCTAGTCATCGAGCAGTTTTGCAACATTGTGCACTATTTACCCAAGTTCAGAACCCATTACTTCCTTCCTTGAAGGCCGATTCATACTAGGTCAAGTCACATTCTGGTCACGATCCGGTAACAGTTAGATGGTATGTTTTTCAAATTACAATTCACATTGTAAGGCAAGGTCAAACAAAGTGCCACTCAAGTAGCAGTCAACGCCACAAGTGTGTATAAACAAATCTAATCTAATTATTTTTTGGCGTGGTTAAAACCTGCACTCAAAATAAAATGGAGAAGCAATTGATTGGATATTCCGAATGGTACAATTTTGTACATGAAAGATATTCAGGACAGAGGACAGCGCCCATAAACAAAGATCAGGAAAACATGGCTTCCTGTTTTTCAGTATTGGATGTATTCAAATGTGCAAAGGGCGCTTACTATTTACATTATCATCGCCTTCGTCTGGTATAAGCGCCATAATAGCTGAATCTGTTATTGAAAATTGCTGCAGACTTTACTACTTCTACTCACTCATTGCCACTGGACTGTGCCGGGTGAACACTGACACATTTGATCTGACTGTGAAAAGGCCGTGTTCAGAACGTGACTTGACCTATAGTGTGAATCGGCCTCAAAACTGTTCGCAACAAACATCACATATAAGTTGGTGTATTCAGGCTCCTGTATGAGGCCTCTCTGCAAATGTACAAATTTTAGCTTGACTTTCGGAGAAATTTGATTCCCGTTCACCAACTCTTTGATCTTCTTAACGATCGTGTATGTCCCTACCCATGGTCTTTGTAATTTCGGGGTTAGTAACTTCCTTCGCTGCAACTGGTATAACCAGATACCGTCGTCTTTAGGTACCTACTTGTGTTCAATAGCTGAGTGTGCTCAGACGTAATCTGTTCCTGGATTAGTCAGTTACTCTGAGCCTGTACTGGAGATAAGCCACTGTGATCCTCATCGGCTAATGTTCTATACCAAACATATAAGATCAACGGGAAGTTTCAAAATGGAATCAAAATTTCTTCCCTGATCGGTATGATTGGATTACCTTTCCTAACCCAAACTAACCATATTCCTTATCTTTTCAATTCCATTAGGCAGCTGAGGAAAACCACCTATTCAAAATACTATTTCTTCAAATCATAACTTTTTAAAAAAACGTTTACTATAAAAAAAGCAAATGGTAAATGTTGCAACCTATGCGCTGTCAAGCAGGGACGAACGAAGGCGCGCCACAAGGTACCGTAGCGAAGGGAAGACAGAAAAATGAGGAACTAAAGAGAAGACGCGCTTGTCTGCTATTGTTCATCATTCAATTTTTATTTTTGTTTTGTATTACAATGATTGTTCAATCCAATTTGTGATTAGTTTGTGTGTCATAAGGAGCATTCACAGGTCAGTTGAATAATTGTTATTTTGTTTTTGAGAATTCAATTTATACAAGTATTATTTTTTCATTTTTATGTTTTTTTGTTTGTTTATAACATTTTTTATAACATGTGCATTGTCATTGTTCATAACAAAAATCGTTTCATGCTGTAAACAACTCAGATAAAAAAGGTAAACTGAAATCTGAAGAAATTATGTTCCGGCTTTTGTGCTGGGATTTTGATTTTTGATATTCAGAACGTGCATTAGGGCTTTGTTAAATCTACTAACATTTTCCTACCCTGACGAGCGAATATCCTAGCAAACAAAGCAAAGAGATATTGGCTCAAAATAACAACTATAGCTGAGTAGCATCCCGTATGGGACCTCAGTACCTGCTGGTCAAACTGGCAAACTAACCAAAAACTCTTCAATATTGAATTTAGGCAGTGTTGTTTGAATGTGGTGTATGTAATTAAAATTTTAGCACAAGCACATGGGCGGTACATAATTTAAACTATTATTCACTTACAATTACAATTATTATTGATTATTGTTTTGATTTTTTAGGAATGTTAGATTGAGGATTTCTCTGCCGTGCTCTTTCCCCTCGTTAGTTCCAGGTCGAAAACGGTAAGCATTTATTCATTCCTTACGTGTATATGGCACCTAGCACAATCCCATTGGTCAGATTTAAAATTCAAACCAATTAAACTTCGAGTGCCATACGCGCGTACGGAATGTAAATCAGTGCCATATGCACTTACGGATTGTAATATAGTTATGCGCATGCAAAATCACGTCTCCAGCGGCTAAATGTCCTGTTTTGTTTTTGTGATTATTGTGATTGTCGGGCTTACATAGATGTTCTTCTATGGAGTTTGGCGTTGCGTCCTTTCTTCCGATTTTCTTAGAAATATTTTGAACAAGAAATTGGCAGTGATTGCTTCGCCGGCATTATTTTAATCAGATCTCTTGTGTTTATTTGGGGGTTTGAATTCGCCATGCATGCTGCGCTGCGACAACGTTGCTACCTTTGAATTAAAAATATTTTGGACAGAGTCCTGGAAAATATAGAGCAAACCTAATGACTGAAAATGACGCAGACGATGGGTGGAAGAATTTGTGTCTTGTTTATATTATTCAATAAACATTCAACAAACATTCAATAAACATATTGACGCTTTCCGCTTTCGCTCTGATAATATATGTATATTTTTTTTGCTCACCAAAACTTAGATTAATCCACCGCATGTTTGTTATGTGTTAATAATACGTAAACTTTGATAATACCTACCTAATAATTACATTCGAAATTTCGTAAAAAAATTGGAAAATCAATACGCCATACTAGCACTTAATTTGAGATAGGTACAGTATTTACTGCAGTTTAAAATATATATAGTTGAAGAATAATTGACGCATTTCTCGTTTTCAGCTTAACAAAATTTTCTGCTGCAATAACTAGGTATGACATTCCGTAAGTGCGTATGGCCCTGGTTTACATTCTGTACGCGCGTATGGCACTCGAAATTTAATTGGTTTAAATTTTAAACCTGACCAATAGGATTGTGCTTGGTGCCATATATATGTACGGAATGAATAAATGCAAACGGTAAGATGTACTTTAATAATAAAGTAGACGTTTCACAAATTTTTCATTTATATATCACAACTTTCCTCAAATTTCCCTTTTTTGCTATTGTCAAGCGCATGTCAAGTAAGTAAAATTGAGTCAGTTTCCACAACGTAGGTCCTATTTGTTTTTCATTTCGTTTTTCAGTAGATTTGTTAAAAAATTCACCGTTCAACCTTGCTGAACGAACCCGTGTATGTTCTAATACAAAGCATATATCGCCACAGGACCCGTTCGGGGTTCGCTGTGTAGCTCTTGTGTTCACCCTGGAAATGTTGAGTAGGAAAGGTAGAATAACCTGATTAACGAGAAACACCAGAACAGCTTAACTAAGAGTATATATTCTGGGAAGACAAAATGTGTATTACCACAACAACGACATTTAGATACCTTCCTTCGGTTTCTAGTCCCTGCTTATCCGCAGACGCAGTAGAGATGTTGAATGTCTGACACCCTTGACCCTTACTCACTGTAGTCCACTGAACACAGATTATATTTTATTCTAGGAAACCAAGCCCGCACTACAATGGAGGCTCGGAAGACTGTACCGTAGCGCAATGCTTGAGTCATTAGGTGAAGACTTAACTCGGACACGATACGCACATCCCAGTCCGATCAGATAGAGCCCTACTTGAGCTGTGTCTAACTTCAAGTGATATAGCTGCCCAGCAGACCCGTCTGCCTTACGATTTGTTCGTTGCTGAGTTGCATTTTGAGTTACAATTCCTGGTCTGGTGTAGTAAAATTAGGTTGACAATATTGATAAATCCATTAAAAATAAAATTAATTAAGGGGAGATAAGAATAGTGCGGCAGGGTTGGCTTGTGGCAAAACGGTTTGAACTTGCTTTCTCCGCAGCAGCAGCTACAGCAAAATTTTTCCGGCATTCATGAGGAATTTTAGTTACCAATAAAATAAGAATTCGCTATTATCATTCGCAATTTCTAATTTCAAAAGAACCTATCAAATTTTTTATACGCAATACGATACTGATGGGCCATCCCCTGCCAAAAACCTCTTTTATTTCTCTTTCGTTAACGAAACTCCGAATCTCCGTCTCCTTAATATTCATATCCTAATTGACTTAGTGCTCGTAATAAAGTTATCCAGCATTATCGGTTGAACGAGGCGAATAAGTTTAAAAATTTCAAGACCACATAAAACTTTTAATCAAATCGGGACCAGGCTTGTATTCATGTAACAGTATATTAGGGAAAAAGGAAAATTGAGAAGAGGGGTCCTTAACAATGCATCTATATTCCTGAGGTAAACAACAACGAAATTAGATTGAATTTGATCTTGGATAATGCGTTTTCTTATGTAAAAAGATTTTTTAAGGACCGAATTTGAATAGAAAATTTCCTTTTTATGTTGCAAGTTTATTAGATTTTTATAAGGATTGTACGTTTGAGTTTGTGTAAAATTTTAGAAAAAGTAATTACTAGTTGGTTAGTTCCACTTTACTAAAGTATAAAAATCTAGTCTTTGTTTAGCAGTATTTGGTTTATCAAAAATTAAAAAAATTTCAGAGAAGAAATTTACGAAGGCCTCTAATTAAACTATAATATGGTTCGTCTAAATGAAAAAAAGCTCCGCCTACTGCAATGGCTTACTATAAAATTAACTTAATCCGTATATATCATATTATAGAAGATGATATAAATATCTGCGTTATAAAATTGTTCTCATACTGTTTCGAAAACTTCCAAAATGAACGTTCCGAAAAAAATAAGATTATTTGAATTATTATTATATCACCGTTCCATCGAAGGTAAGAAAAAGTAAATTTGCTTATACTTATTATACAACATTTTGTTTTTCTGTTCTAGACAGCGCCAGTTCTATATCACGGGACATGGTATTCTACATAGTCGAAAATAAATATAAATTTTCCATAGCTGTTACATCAATAACTTACAGTTTTATGCAAGCTGTCATATTTTTTTACAGGGTGGTTACTGATCCAAACATCGATTATATTTTTAACTATTCGCCGATGCTAATTTTTTGTTATTTCGTAAGTGGAACAAATGTCCGTGAAAACCAAAAACTTGTCGCGGTTAACCTAAAAGTGCATTTTGTAGAAGCAAACAATCGAGTGCAAAAGAGGGAAAAATGTAACTGTTTAGTTGCTGAAATTTATGTGTATGAATATAATGACTGCTGACTGTTGACATTCGTGGAAATTTAGGAAACTTAATGATAACTCTTCAATAAAGAATGAATCAGGTTTTTAATAGTGTAATTTTTTTATTAAATTCGACCGAGCGCTTTCGACCTAATTACAGGTCATCTTCAGGATCGTTTTCGTCAATTAGGGTTTATCCATAACGCAACCAGGCGAACATGAGATCAACAAATTCATGGAATATAGACTAAGTAAGTCTCTATTATTCGAGAATCGAAACTCCCTTCCAGTTTCACAATAAAGACAATAGACACAAGAGCATTCAAAATAAATAAAAAATAAAAATATCGAAACACAATACAATTAAACAGAACTAAATTTAAACAATTAAAAATGTAAAAAACAAAAATTTAAAATTAGTTAAAAGGCTATTTCAACCCTCAATATAAGTCCTTATATAAGGCTAAAAAAATTCTCAAAATCAACAAGATTTTGGAATTTAGTAAATTTTATTCAATTTCAATAAAAAGCCATTGAGGGTTGAAATAGCCTTTCTCATGTTCGCCTAGATGCCTTATGTATAAACCCTTATTGACGGAACCGATCCTGAAGATGACCTGTAATTAGGTCGAAAGCGCTCGGTCGAATTTAATAAAAAAATTACACCATTACAAACCTGACTCACTTGGTGTACATCCTGCCCACCCTCTTCTTTACTTTCTTTAGTTCAAAGTACCTGATCGAAAATATTCAGGCCAAGTTAACCAGACGGCTGGTTTCAAATTCTTGTTGGTTTTCTGTAGCTTGGTGTTCATTTCCATACCAACGATCCAATATATCATCAATCGATCCACAGTTTTGTTGAGAAGCAGGCGGCAGAATCTCTTATAGGTCTAAGGCAATCAAACATGTAGCCATGTTATCGGAGCTCCAACTCTTAGCCTCAAGTCTCGACCTAACGTCTGTACATCGCCCTCGATGTCGTATGGTGGTGGCTTAACTCTAACACTAGTTGCTGGCTAAGATGAGACATTAAGTGATCATACTTAAATTTTTTAATCTTATCAGACAAAACTATTTATTCCTTGGCGATCAGTTCCAGCCTTGGTTCCAACTTCCTGACGAACATTTTCAACTTCCATTCTCCTTCCATTGCATTCTTGAATTAATTTTCTTGTCCTTCCAGAATTTTCTCGAGTCTTGTTTGTTCCTAAAAGATTACGGTCTCGTTGAACTTTTAAAGTTTCCTGAATCTGGTCCGCTCCTTGTCTTGTCTTGTCTTCAGGCTTTCTCTTCTTCTTTGGGTTTCTGTCTTCGGCCTTCCTCTTTTTGGCTCTACTTGTCTCTTACTTACTTACTCCGTATCGCTGCAGCCCCTGTTGGGCTTTGGCTGACACGACGTCTTGCCTCCATCCAACACGATCAGTCAGTTTTCGCAGAGCCGCAGCAATGTTGTCCCGTCATCTCAATCTGGGTCTTCCAAGTGGCCTTTTCCCCTCCCCGCCATACCAGTCGTATCGCCCTTTTTTCAGTTTGCCTACGCACTTGTGCTGTCCATCTAAGCCGTTGAGCCTTTATTATGTTGCACAGATCTGGTTCATCGTATGGCTTTCCCAGTTCCGCATTCATTTTACTTCTGTATTGCTGCGCCTGTGGGTCTTTGGTCGAGCCGTATATTTTTCTAAGTATTCGCCCTTCGAATCTATGGATGATCTCCTCATTTCGTATTCTTACCTTTAGCGTCCACGATTCGCAACCGTGCATCATGACAGGTCTGATGACAGTTTTGTATACTTTGATTTTGGCTCTTCTAGTAACTTCTTCGGATCCAAATATGTTCTTGAGGGCATAGGAGCAGTTGTTTACGGTTTTCAGTCGGTACTTTATTTCCTCGCCGTGTCATTGTCGGCTGTGATGATCGAACCCATGTACTTGAACTGACGTTTCAAAGTTGTACTAGAGATTCACGACTTGACTTGATTTTCAAGCTACTTGACTTGACTTGACTTGATATCAAGTCAAGATCAAGTCAAGTATTTGTTTTTGAAATTCAAGTCAAGTCAAGTAGTTACACATCAAGTAACTTGAAAATCAAGTTTTTCAAGCTAACTACTTGATTTTTCTTGAAAAAATAGTACTTTTTTGATAACAATCTGATTAACTGCGAAAACGCAATAACAATAAAAATCTATGTATACCGGGTGTCAACCAGATCGCTTTCACTGGTGTAGAGTGTAGAGTTTAGGTTTCACAAATGTCATCTTTTGACGTATGTGTAAAAGTCTACCAACTTCCGGTTTTACCGGAAGTGACCATAGCTTCATAATTTTAAATGGCAACCTAGTATTTTTTTAGTAGTTTTGAATTCTTGGGACCAACCTGTAGGAAGTTTGAAAATTTTAAAACAAAATTTGTTTTTGGGTTGAGACTACCAGGATTTGCCTGAAACTGTTTATTTGGCTACACAAAATTGTAGAAAAATGGCAATGTGTTGTTTTTTCTTATCATTTATCTTCCAAATGTTGTCAAAGTTGGAAAAATTGTATTTTATGTGATAACATAATAAACTTAAATGAAACCACCCAACTTTCACATCTAAAATTAATAACTTGCTTCAAAATAAAGCTAACGATGTATTGAAACTTTCTAAAAGGACCCATTTTCAATGAATTTTCTTTAACTTTCTATTTGAAAAGTTATAAAGAAATATCGACAAGCCCCGGTATCGGGAGTGGCAAGTAACTGGTGGCCAATGTTGTCATTGGCCCATTGACAGGCCCATTGGACAGGCCATATTTGTTTGTCATTTCAAGGTGCATTTATGATTTAAGTGTGACAACATTGGCCACCAGCTTTTTGCCATTCCCGATACAGGGGCTTGTATGGATATTTTTCTGTAACTTTTCAAATTGAAAGTTAAAGAAAATTTAATGAAAATGAGTCTTTTTAGAAAGTTTTAATACATTGTTAGCTTTATTTTGAAGCAAGGTATCAACTTTAGATGTGAAAGTTGAGTGGTTTCATTTAATTTTATCAAGTTATCACATAAAATACGATTTGCCAACTTTAGAAACTTTTAGTAGATAAAAGATAAAAGAAAACAACGCATTTCGAAATTTCTACATTTATGTGTGCCAAAATAAACGGTCGAGGCAAATCCTGGTAATCTCAGATCAAAAACAAATTTCGTTCTAAAATTCTCAAACTTCGTCAATCAGCTTTAAATGTGATATTCCAATAAACAGAATGATCCCAAGAATTCGAAACTATATCCTGTTCAGAATCCGATGTCCAAAGGTATAGGTAAATGTATCACCTTTCCCTATCAAAAAGCATTAAAAGGTGATAAATTTTACCTTTACCTTTGGACATCGGATTGTGAATAGATAAAACTTGAAAAATGCTAGGTTGCTATTTATAGACTGTGAGATAGGGGCTGTTTAGTGGAGTCATTTTTTTTTGTCTGGCATTTTGAGGGCTGAATGTGGCTACTAAGCTGATGAGAATATGGGGATTTTATTGCCGGCCTCCCGTTCGAAAATTTGCAGAAGAAAAAAATTGATTTACATGTAAATTTTTTTTTTAATGATCTCAAATTTTCTAGCTTTTAAATAAAAGATTGACATTGATAAATAATTCACCCATCAAAAATATCAGATGCTTTTCAATAGCTGAAAAAATGGTGATGGGTGTCAACTTCCAAGAGAAAAGAAAAGAACCTTCCGCGTTTACTTTTTGTCTGGCAATCGAGAGAATGAAAGGTTTTGTTGTGAAAATAACGCTGGAAAATCGCCAGACGGTAATCGCAGTTCGAAATCGAGTTTTCCGGCGAAACATTCTGTGGACATTTCGAACAGAAGGCAGGCATTAAAACCACTTATATTCTCATCAGCTAACTAGTCACATTCATCCCTCAAAATGCCAGACAAAAAAAAAATGACTCCACTAAACAGGCCCTATCTCAGGGTCTATTAGAATTATGAAGCTATGGTTACTTCCGGTAAAACGGGAAGTTGCTAGACTTTTACACATACGTCAAAAGATGACATTTGTCAAACCTAATCTTGACGATTGAACACTTTTTTTAATGAAAGACAATTTTTAGCAATAATTTTTGATTTTATTTGCTCTCGATACAAAAGGGTGCCTTACACTACGACGAGTTGTTCTAAAGTGACAGTCTATTTTCGGCGTTGCCAAATCTATTTTAATAGGCCGAGTTAAGTTAAAAAAGGAAGGATATAACCTTAGCAAATCCTAACACCTAAACTCTACACCAAAATTCATTTGGATCGGAAAAGAAATAAAAAAATGCCAGAGCGAAAGCGATCTCGTTGACACCCGATATATAGATATAATCTTTTATTTAAAAAACATCTAAAAACGAAAACTCTAACTCAGTTAAATAATAAATGAAATAATATGAAATAAAAATACGAACATTTCGGAATTAACTTCGGTGAATCCCCTATTTTAACGCTTCGATGCGCATTTCACAGATCGCTATCAAGTAATATCAAGTAGTTTGATTTTACTTGATATCCAGTCAAGTAATTCAGACCGAAAATCAAGTCAAGTCAAATATCAAATTTTCAAAAGCTTGAGTTTTCAAGTCAAGTCAAGTATTTAAGAAAAAATTCAAGCTACTTGGCTTGATGAATCCCTGAGTTGTACTCATTCATTGTCACATTTTGTCCCACTCTCCCTCTGCCTGTCCTATAGCCTTGTGATCTAGTTTAACAAACGATCCTCTGCTATTTATTACGCTAGTTTCCACCACCTCAATATCGTCGGCATAAGCAAGTATTAGTTACGGACCATCCGTTTGGAAGAGCTCTCTTTCGAGCTTGGAGTTTCTTACGACCTTCTCCAAGACAATATTGAAAAGAGTCGGGGACAGCACCTCACCCTGCTTCAATCCTGTATTTACCCTGAATAAGTCCGACATATCACTCCCAATTTCACTCTGCATCTGGAACCTTCTACATAAACACTTGTTAGTCTATAATCCTAAAATCCTACGAGTTATCCCGAATTCTATCATTGTCTTTAAGATCTCTACTCTTTTCACACTATTATAGGCCTGTTGGAAATCTATGAACATTTGGCCTCTTGAATTCCCAGCTTTTTTATAGTAGCTCTCTAACTGTGATCAGTTGGTCGGTTTTTGATCGGTTTATCCGAAAGCCGCACTGATAGTCTCCTATTATCTCCTCTGTTAATGAATGAACTTTGTATACTACGGTTATAAGCGATATTCCTCTATAATTTTTGCATATCATTCTGTGTCCTTTTTTGTGTAAGGGGATTATTATGGTTTCCTTCCAGTCTTCTGGGATCTTCTCGTTTTCCTAGATACTTCCTATAAATTCGTGTGTTGGGATCTTGTTGTGTTAGCGGCATAATCAGAGAATTAGGCGGTTATCGTGTATTTTCCAGGATTTTTTTTTTTCATTTTTTTCATAGCGTTCTCAATTTCGATTCGAGAGAGGTACCTATTCTTTCCGCATTTTCGCAGTTTGGAAGCTGGTCGGTTTTTCGTTATTTGTATAATCGTAGTTAAGTATTTGTTTGAGGTACTCTTTCCAAGTGCAACATTTGATTTTGCCTGGTTACTAGATCTCCGTTGTCGTCCTTGATAATGTTGTTGGTTCTGGGTCTAAAGCCATTCTTTCTTGTTCTTATTGTTTTATAGATTTTCCTGGTATTGTTCCTTCCATCGACTTTCAGCTCCTGCAACTCCTGATCGTCTTCAGTTTTGCTGTATCACACTGTTGATCTTGTTTGGATTGTAAATTTTTTGAGCTTGATATTCTGATTTTCAGCTTTGCTCTAACAAGAATATGGTCCGAGTCCGCGTCTGCCCTCTACAGCTTGTCACATCCAAGACGTTGCTTCCATGCCTTGCACCAATTACGACGTGATCAATTTGGTTCCTTTATGGATATCTTTATGTTCATACATTGTGGATTCAATAAGGAGTAAGACTACTTGTCTCTTGTCATTTAAATGTTTCATGAAGTCCGTCAACATTTGATTAACTTGCTCCATTTCGGCTGTTTGCTCTCATGTATTTACCATAGAATACTCTATATTTTTCTTGATTTCGAATCTCAAGTTCCAGATAGTGATTGCCGATGTATCACTCACAGGTTTCAAATAGAATTCTATAGAACATTCCACAATTTTTCAGAAAATCCGTTTGTGAGCTTGTTTTCTGATGTTGAAGCCGGTATGTGGAAGTCACTATTTTCGTATAACTAAGGGTTTCCAAATAGAACCCTAAAGAAGTTCCCGAATTTCATAAAAGTGGCTTCTTATTGACCATCCAACTCTAAAAATTGTTTTCAAATTGATCATGTTTTATTTTGAAAAAATAGTCTTTTTTGGTAAAAGTTTATCCATGATACCTAAATTTGAATATGTAGACACCTTCTTCCTATATAGTTATATCTGAAATAGTACAACTTCACCTAGAAATAAAATGACAAATACAACAATAAATGATTGCACCAATTCTCTTGCTAATTTCACTTCAGAGACCAAATTGTCACGGATTCCGGGTTCACTGAAACTAACTTCACAAACTTTTATTGAACAAAGTTGAATTTAAAAAAAATCACCCACTCGTCGAAACTAGAAATTTCTTGACAAACAGAATGGTAAACCAATGAAATAGATTGAAAAGTGAAACAATCAGTGCAACGTCTACAAACCAATTCAAAAATCTTCTGGACCGTTAAATGGAAATATTCGCTAGCAACCAATTATTGTTCGGCCCAAAAATAAATAAAAGTAGACAAAATAACAAAGGGAACATTTTGCCCCTAAATAAATCAGTTTTGTATGTAATACCGCGAGATTGATTTGAAAGCTATTTTTGTGGATATTACCATGTATTACTAAACTTTGGTAAGTATTACTTGAGGTATTACTCAGCTTGAATTGTGTTTTTCCTCCGAAATACACATTCTTTTCTACTGCGGTCGTTTCATAATTGAGAAAGAAAATAATGTTAATACATATATTTAATTTTATTAACATTATTTTTTTTTCTCAATTATGAAACGTCCGCAGTAGAAAAGAATGTATATTTTGGAGGAAAAGCACATTCGCGGTGTTCCGTTTGCTGGCCTCGCCTGAGCCTCTCCCAGCAGTTAGACAAATGGCCAGACTGGGTAACTTTCCCAAATGAATGCACAGTAAACTAATTTTTTAATTTCGTTATTCTTGAACTTTGGCCATGGAGCTTGACAATTGCTCCATCATTGAGAGTAGCTTTTATTGAACTAAATTAATGGCGACAATTTTTTCGTTTTCGCGATAAAGCAGCGACCAAATTTTATTTTTTTTTTTATGGCTCTGGTTAAAACCAACTGGCCAGTATCTCTCATTGTTAAATTGACCAAATTCGACCACAAATTCACTGAGATTGAACAATTTTTCGAACTTATACTACATACTAAAATAAGCATAATCCACTATCTACTTGTTACAGATTACTTTTCATCGTTTTTTTTTTTTACTCTTTGATTTTTTGTCTTTTTTTTTCCTGCTTTTTTTCCAATAAATTTTCCTATAGTCTTTCATTGTTTCAAGTTTTTTTTTTGTTTTGTTTTTTGTTTGTTTTTTTTTAATATACATATATATTTTTTTTTTTTTTTAATTTTTTTTTTTTCTTTTTTAAATTTCAATCTTAGCAACTAATATAAATTTATGAAAGTTGCTGTAGTACTGTAATATCCGGAATGCGTAATTGATAATACCTACATGATGACCATTGGAATTAATCTTCTACTGATGTTGGCACAGTTTTATAGTCATTATTTAGAAATAACTCGAAAATTTTACTCGCCGATTCTCTCGTCGTACAATAATTTTTTTGTTTTGTAGAATATCTGCTGCCTAATGCAAGTTTTTATAAAATACAGATACATGAAAAATGGTTCAGATTACATAGAAAAATGTTTTTGGAATCCAGATTTTGCATGCGAAGCAGCGAAATCAGAAATTGAAGATCGAGTTGGAATTCTCAAAAAACTGATGCTATTTATTTCTACCATGTCATTTGCTATTGGATTTCCATGTTTACCTTTTACCGGAATTAAATACAGCGAAGACTTATTTCCTTTCGTCGAATTTCTCGATCACATAAATTTACCGAGTCATCTTAAAGCAAGTCTGGCCATAATTAATTACATAGTAGCTTTTCCGAATTATTATTTCATGACTATCTATGGGGTAATTGTTGCCTTCTATGCTAGTAATAGTATAGTACAGGTAAGTTTGAAGACATGATAATAAGTTACACGAATATCGCACTTTAAGGCTATTCTTATTAAATGGAATTTGATTAATTTAACCGACAATTTGGCAATAGATGAAGATAATATTTTACAAGATGAGCATAAGCAAATGATGATAGAATATAAACTTAAAAAATGCATTAAGCAACATAAGATTTTGTGTGAGTAAGTACTATTTTGCGGCCTTTAAACACAAATAAAATGTCTGCACTATATCCTCGATTTTTTAAGGTTCATTCAGCAAGCGCAAGGATATGTATATTACACTGCACTATGGCATTTGGCGGGAGCAGTCACTTTACTAGCAAGCTTATCATATGCACTTGCTTTCGTAAGTATATATAATTTTAAATTAAATAAACTTGATTGTTAGCTTCCATTAAGGAATATAATGTACATTTTTATTGTTTTAGCGCGAGCAAAGATTAAATAATATGTTCATATTGATAACTGAGCTAACTTGTGTAGCGTCTTCTACATTTTTCTATTGCTTCATGGCAGACTTGATTCTGCAACAGGTAATATATAGTGAGTACGGAAAATAACGAGACAATCTCTTCTATTAACTGGTGCGATTTAAACAAAATTTTGATTCGGCGTTTTTTTAAGTGTCAGATTTCAAAATCCTTAGAAGCTTTTCTGAAGGCGCACATAAAGTATTACAAGTGCGTTTATGAAGACGATTACAATAACGAGTGTGAAAGATGAGAACGATGAAGTCGTAGACCGAGTCGTTCTAATCACACGACAATGATGGATTGGCGCTCTTGCAACATCATCATTTAACTTGTTTTTCTCACAGTCCAGAGGCGTCCTCTGAAAACTGCCAAAATGCTGGGAACAACTCTTAGCTAACAAATAGAAGTGGTTGGAGATATTACAAAGCCTATAGATGGCAAAGGAAAAAATCATACCAATGATCCTAACCTATCACGAATACCATGAATTGACAAATGGCGACGGATTGTTGAATTGCTCAAGAGATAACGCTCAAGAAACTGATCAATACCGATGAAGACAATGCTTAGCTGACTAGAAAATGAACAATGACCTGGAAGAGTAATGAAGCTTCTCGCGTAGATCTTATGTTTGAACAGTGATGCATGGACACCTTAAGCGAGTTAATCAACAATAGGGTTGACATTCATCAGAAATTGAATCTACTTTAGAGCGATCCGAACCTAAAAATATTTTGCACGCGACTTCGTGCCCGAGTGTCCTATGGCGCCCAAATGTCCGGTACCGCAATGTACTGCATACAGTTCTTTTTGATCGTATATTGCACTTCTCAATCATGTATTTTCACTTATTTCAAGCAACAGCAACAGTTCTTTTATCTTTCTTGACATAAAGAAGGTTCAATTTGGACCGAAACGTAGTCTCGAACACTCTCAATTGAAAAATCACCTGAGATGACCATAATACAGCCGTTTTCAAGACAAAAAATTTAATATAACTATACCTATACTACATAAATTTAAATTTAAAGGCGATTTCGCCCCAGATTTTTATCTACGACTTTTAGCTACCAAAGCTCAACAATCTCATCCGAATTCAGTGGATAGGGCGTTTGGTACATTTTGACTTTGACATGTTTATTTGAACATGAGAGAAAAAGAAACAGAAAGCTACCAAACCTCCACTACCCAGTCAAACCGCGGTATAGCATCTGACAGACCAAAGGGCCTACCAAAGTTATTGTGACAGCATCATTCACCCATCTGAAATTGAATGGTACCTGTTTGACAGACCAAACTTGAGTACCAAACTGAGGCGAAATCGCCTTAAGTAATTTTTTCTCCGAATGACAGTAAAAGTGGCCTTTAATGACACTTGACAGGATCAAAAGTTGTATTTTTACTGCCTAGGCAGTAAAAGTGGACTTTTACTGCCTAGGCATTAAAAGTGACAGTGTCACAACGTTCCAGGTAATAATTTCACTCAATTTGGTATTTGAAATTGATGGTGACAGTGACAATTGTCAAAATAATTTAATTATTTGGATAATAATAATGGATGAAATTAATATAAAAAAGATGTCCATGTGTGAATTTGAACATTCGGAGCAAAAATTATATGTTTTACATGGCAGAAAAGCAGATTTTTTCGGCTATGTCTCGGCTATGAAACACCAGCCGCGGCATTAAATCTTGTACTTTTCTGCCTAGTGAAACAAATAACTATTTTTATCATGTATTTTATCTAATTGTAGATGGAAGACATACCTGATACAACAACTGAGACCAAATGGTATTATTTCAACACCAAAAATAGAAAATTATTTCTAACATTTATAACAAATGCGAGAAACAAGCATCAACTTGTATTAGGCGGTATATTTGATGCAAATTTGGATTTGTGCGTTTATGTAACTTAGCTCTTTTTATGATTATGAAACATATTTAATTTTTTTTTTTTTAGATTTTTAAAAAAGCTTATGCTGTTGTCAGTGTTTTAGGTGCCATGAAATAAAATTGAAAACATTACTGATGGGTAAAATTAGATTTATCAAGCCTAGTACATCACAATGTTCTATTAAGCCAAGTTGAAATAATGGGCTCTTTCACTAAAATTTAAATACGTAATTTAAGTATAAAATCTCAAAGGAGGGACTATTTTAGGCATATATACCAAAAAAAAAATGTTCTATAAGGTTCAATAAGTTTTTCACAGGCAATCAAAAGTGCTAAATTCAAATTAATTTTAAACGCGCCGATTTGCCGACGTCACATAAATATTCTTCATTTCGTTTATGTTGTTGCAAGGAGGACCGGCTCGGCTGTGTTTGCGCTCGAAAGATACGTAAAGGTTCGAATGCGCTGTTGTCGGTTGTGACTAAATGTAGTGCAGCGTAAAATAAATAAATAAAACTAAACATAAAAAATTGTATTAGATTGTGTTTAAGCATAATTTTTTAAAAAAAATGTTATAAAATCTTGAATCTATAACTAATTAATTTAACTACTTTTCATGAGATTTTGCCAACATTTCAGAATTAAATCTATTACAAATTTTCAATGTTGACAATTAGTGGCAACACGGTCAAATTGCGAGCTGCGACGTCATAGAAATAAATTCTGGGTTTTTATTTCGAGGTATTTCTTTGTTTTCTGTTTTCTCAAGAAGGACTTTGAATTTTTCAAAAGTAAAAATACAGAAAATTCTGTTTTTAGTTGCTTTATCCAAATATGCCAATTTCAAAAATTAGTGAAAGAGCCCATTACTATATAAATACCTACCTACCTAATATTATATTGCACGAATGCTGATGGTTAAAACAAAAACTAACTTTAATAATAGGCTAATTTTGGATTAGGATATCACAATGTTCTATGAATCACAATTAAAATTACATTATAAAGCACAAACTTTGGCAATAAAAGCATTATTTGAAATTTATTTTGTGTTTAACCCTTCGTCAGTGTGGTAAGAAAAAGTTCCATTGTATGTCACACCCCAAACTTTTTTCCGCTTTTCAAATCAAGGTGCCATAATTATATTGTTTTATTAGGAGTAAAAGTGATACTTTTTGTGGCGAGACTAAATGTTTGACAATTAGACGAGCCACAAAAAGTGCTTTTCTCCGAATAAAACATGCGATTTTCTCCGCAAACGCGGTGTTCAAGCGATGGAATCTAGGAAATTTCTGTGACGTCACTTTTTTGTACGGCCGTGAGCGTACAAAAAAATACTTTTTTGTACGCTCACGAAACGGGCGGACAAAAAAGTAACAAATAAATAACGTCTGTGAAGTCAAACTTCAACATTAAGAATTGAAGTTAACAAAAGTCATAATTTTTTGACGTTCGCAGAAAATAAATATTTTATGAATTTCTTTATATTATCCTACTGAACTATCATAACAATATAATACCTTGGTTACGATAATCATAAACAAGGTCTTACCTCCCGCGCGGGAGTTAAGGATTTCAAAAATCCCGCCCGGGAGTTAAGGATTTTCATAACTCCAGGTAAAACTTTAAGTAAAGATAGAAATTTTGGTTTATGGTTTATTCCTTCATAAAAATGGACAAAATACAGTAAATTCAGTAGGAAATTATCCATGTACCACGGGAATTATCAGGTGTTAATACGGGCAATTGGTGTCTAACACAAACTTTGTCCTAGGGTATTAACACCCTCATAATTCCCTTGATACATAAACTAGTTTTTCTGCGATTGACAAGAAATGTCAGCATTTTTGACCGGTTGACAGGTCGCAAAACTCAATATTCTGGTATTTCAATTATGTTTCAATAGTTGCTGAGGAATCAATGAATAACAATACGGGAAAGTGATTCTCGTACTGCTGAATAATTGGAACTAAAAGACAAACACTTAACAGGTATTTAACCGATCGCAGAAAAAAGAGTATGTGTATTTCGGTGGAAAATCACATTCTCGGCCTTCGGTGTTTGCCGGCCTCGGCTACGCCTCGCCCGTCAACTTACACCGTCGGCCGAGAATGTGTCACTTTTCCACCTGAATACACAATATACTATTTCTGACTGTTTTCAACCAATGAAATTCGCTCTGACTGGTTTGTGATTTCTGTGTGAACAGAATAATTATGTTTGACAAGCATTATTATAGCAGGATTGAAAGGGTTCATGGCTGGTATTAGCCGGTAGTGTCAATAAGATGAAGTTATTTCCATAGCCATTCTATCATTTCAAGTGACATGTGGATATTAAGGATCCCACACGCCAACGTGGTATGTGGGAAGCGGGAGCAGGAATGAAAACGATACGGTTTCATGACATGTGGCGGAAAATTTCACACTACAGCATTATTTCGCTTACATATCCCGCTACATGATTTATGCCGTTTGCACCGGCCATTTTGAGGATACCCTAGCAAGTATTTCTCAAAGTGACATTTCTCCATGTAAAAATGTCATTTTAAGGAATACATATTGCTAAGGCTTCCTTAAAATGGTCGGTGCAACGGCCATTTATCCCGCGTCGTTCTCTCTCTGGGCTGATAATGCTGGGTATAGGATCAGAATAATTAAATACTTGAGCTACTAAACAAATATTTCTATCGTAATGCATCTGGCATCATGGTAGATTAATTTGCACCTTTTTCATCACCCGATCTGAATTTATATTTATTGGGTACTTCTTTCTGCTTGTCACATTTATATGTCAGCCAAGTTTTGCCAGCTATTCTATTAGGATCCCAAATAGTCGTTTTTTTATACGGATAAGTATTACGTAATTACGTATCGACAAATTGAATGCCTTTGCAATAACATGATGTTGCCTTGCCAAAATCTATCAAGGCACGAAAAAGGTAATCCATCTGTACCCATGATTTACCTGAACAGCTTTTCAAAGTGATTTTTTGTATGTTTGAGATGAAGGAACGTTTTGAATGTATTTTGGGAAGAAAGAATCACGTTGTTCCTTCTAGATGTGTATCTAAAAGCAAAACTCAAGAGTGCAAGTAACAATCCGACGTCATCCTAAATAAAATTACATTGAGAATTTCATACATCTGTCAAAACTAGTATTCCAACAATAAATTGACATGTTTTGATTGTTGATTTGAATCAATATTGTATTTACGCGATAATTTTCACTAGTGCAAATTATCAGATAATTGCATACTAACTGGCGCGAAAACTGGTGTTTTGACATTTTTTGACAAAAAATTTAAATTTTTGATTTATGAAATTCTCTCATTAAATACAACTCGTGCAATGGAAATATATTTATAATTTTCCACAAATTTGCACTCATGCGTTTTTAACTGAAAAAGGCACTCGTGCACTACGTGCACTCGTGCTTTTTTTCAACTAAAAATGCATTCGGGCAAATTTCCCAAAAATTATCAATAATTTCCATTGCACTAGTTATATTACTATTGAAAATTTGTAAATTTTCTTGGAGCTTATACAATGAACGATTGTGATTCTGCCAGAGCTTAAGTGTCACATTACATCACTTCTACTTATAAAAAAAAAACATTAACTCTAATGAAAATTTTTGGATTAATTTTCCTTGCTATTCCATCCACAGACGCGTTTCGACCTATCAGGTCTCGTTAGTGTCGCTAGGAAATCGAAGAAAACGAATCCAACTTTAGTTGCTGTAGGCAAAATAGAAGTAGGTAGTACGACGAGCGAAATTTTGATCGTGGCGCCATCTAAGACTGGGATTTAACACTAAACAGCACTTTTGCTGTTTTAGTACTGACCATCTAATAAGCCGACTAAAAATCAGTTAGTTGGGAAAACCCAAAATGGGGAAAACAAGTTTTCTCCTATTATCCAAAGATGTGAAAATTTTTGGATTAATTTTCCTTGCTATTCCATCCACAGACTGTAGGCAAACTAGAAGTAGTACGACGAGCGAAATTTGATCGTGGCGCCATCTAAAACTAGGATTCAACACTAAACAGCACTTTTGCTGTTTTAGTACTGACCATCTAATAGGCCGACTAAAAATCAGTTAGTTGAAAAAACCCAGAATAGGGAAAACATGTGGATGGGATAACAATGAAAATTAATCCAAAAATTTTCACATCAGTGGATAATAGGAGAAAACTTGGTCGGCCTATTAGATGGTCAGTACTAAAACAGCAAAAGTGCTGTTTAGTGTTGAATCCTATGGCGTTTTCCATTTGTCGTCTCAGTGCAGCATTCAGTGCGCACGAGAATTTTTCTAGTGCTGTCAAAAACACGCACCAGTGCAGTATAAATGGAAAGCAAAAATGCAGACTCGGCTCGGATTCTGGGGTTATGTAAAATCTTATGTTGATGTGCGTTTTTATTCTCATCGATGGATTCACCGATGAGTTAGCTATCTTTGTTTAGTGAATGGAAAATGACAATGACCGACATAGAATGGTGGATCCATCGGTCAAATTTGATGAGAATAAAAACGCACGTTTGGTTAGTTGTTTTTGTTTAGCATTTGCCGGTTTCTGGTTACCTGCTCTGCATGTTTTATAGTATAGAGGCTGTTCATTTGTACTCTACCTACTCGCAAAATCAGGAAGATATGCTAGGAGCTGCTATTTACAAGCTTATTATATGTGAGTTATGGGACAAGTGAACGCCGATCAGCTGATGAGATCTGCTTGAAGCAAGAAAAGCAGTACAAATGAACAGCCTATAAAATTGTAATATTAATAAGTTTAGTCTGGGCTGTCGTTCTATGGTTCTAGAGTGAACTACAAAAACTATTTAAAAAATTGATGTATTTGAAATGAATTTTAGAGTTAATGAAGAAGAAGTCATACTAAATAACTATTTAGTTCGATGGTCCAGATCATCTATTTGAAATAACAGCTTCTTCTAGTTCTTTTCCGCGGTTTCATCCACCGTTAAATTTAGAAGAAATTGACTATCTATAAATAATTTAAAGTACCTACTTCGCATCAGACAATATTTTTAAACAACAATAATAAATAATAATATATCTAAAAACAACGTGGATAAGCTGCGGAATACGTTCAAATAATAT